GTACACAGGCCTCTCACTGTTGTGGCCTCTCCCGTTGCGGAGCACAGGCTCCGGACGCGCAGGCCCAGCGGCCATGGCTCACGGGCCCAGCCGCTCCGCGTCATGTGGGATCTTCCCGGACCGGGGCACGAACCCGTGTCCCCTGCGTTGGCCGGCGGACTCTCAACCACTGCGCCACCAGGGAAGCCCGGTAATCGCATTTTTTAAACAAGCTCATTTAGAATAAAATCTTTAAAATGCAAGGAGTTGATGTAAATTGAAAGAAACATTTGCCACATAGAGATGCACTCCCGTAGAAGATGAGCTCATTAAAATGGCCTCAAGCTCTAAATGGACTGACTCGTTAGGAGGCCTGAAATACATCACATCTGAGGAAGCAATTGATGAATTCCAAAGGTGCCTGCTCCGTTATTTTTTGCAGACAGTAGGAGTCTTCTGTTTTGGTAATTACCTTGGCTTTTGGTTTCAAGAGGAAAGGGGCATAGTGCTTCTCGGCAAAAGATGAGAGTGTCCACCTGCTGCAGGGGGGCTCAAGGCAGTGGAGGCTAGAGTCAGAGAACTGGGAGAGCAGGTCCCTCGTGGAGCTGGTGCTCTCGGGGCTCTGGCAGCTGAGCGTGTCCTGGGCCACGGTGACGGGCTGCACGGAGATCTCGGAGCGCGGCTCGGCAGTGGTGTAGTACACGTGCGTGTGTGGGTCGTACTCTGTGCGGAGCTGCACCGTGGATTGCATGGTGATCTGGGTTTCGTGGGCGAAGCTGTGGCTGCTGTAGGGGGGCGGGGGGCTGTAGCGGGTGCTATTGTGAGTCTCTGTGTAGGCCTGGGGTTCAACCTGAATCACTCTGCTGACACAGGGGCTGAAAGAGGGGAAAATATGTTGGAATGGTATACCGAAACAGGGAAATGGTGCTTTCATTTCTGCCAATGACTGACATTATTCGCTTTATACAGCTCTGATTTAGGAGCAAAACATAGCACCGAACTCCACAAACACCATCCGGTTTATCTATCCGGACACAGACATGAGTCAATCAAAGGAGGCCAAATGGATGGTTGATCCTGAATTTGGCTGACAAAAATCAAGTTACATGCTGATGAACCTCTTAATGCATAATTCCTTAAAAAAAAAAACCCAAAACCAAACCACCCAAAGGGTGATATGTTTTCCAGATGGTGGTTTTCAACCTTTGTTCTGCCCTAAGCCATAGAGATACAACACATTCCCAACAATCAGCAATACTGGTGTGTGGTAAACAATGATCATGTGTATCACAACCTCGGGGCTGTAAGGATGTTCAGTCGAGGGAGGGGAGAACCCCAGTGACTCCCATGTCCCCCAGAGGAAGCATCCTCTGTCCATTATCTCCCCTGCGTTCAGCACACTGTTAACTATGCTTCCTTCTAAGTTCACAGACTGAAAATTTCTCTAAACATTACCACTCTGTTCCCAACAAATAAAGGCCACAGGGGACAGAAAATGTACCTTGTAAAACAGCAGAAAATATCCAATCTCCTGTCCTCACGTCGATACAAATCCATGCTGAGAATTGCAGGAAAAATCAGCAGAACCATAGCAAAATTGAATACCACTACTACAGCCGCCTGGGAGAAAAAAAAGTGTAGAGGTCACTAATACATTTCCTCCCAGTCAGAGGACTGCTTTGAAAATAAAGATGCTTTAAACAAAATCTTTCTTTCACTTTCCTAACTGAGGTGTTTAAGCCTGAAATAGATGCTGGAGTTTCTCATCACTTTGCTTCTCGTCCTTCATTAAGAGACCATTTGACTAGAATAGAGGCCCCCCCCCATCATTCCTTTCCATCTCTAATAATTCCATGAGCCCATAGGGTACAAACACAGGAACTAAACTAAACCAAACTGACAAAAGCAGAACAGAGAATATGCTTGAAATGTTTTACTTTAAGATAAAAAGAAACATTTTCCTCTTAGAACATTTCTAAGAGTTCACGTAGCCCTGATTTTACGCTTAGAAAATTTATATATAAAGTGGATCCAGTATATCCAAATGTCACCTTTAAAACACAAAATAAAAATTCAAACACGTCCCCCGAGGTTTTTAATAGGCACATTCCAAATAGCCTCTGGAGTAGCCTGTGGGGTGTGCGAGCGCAGTAACATAAAAGGTCAAGGAGAGTTAAGCAGAAATTCCTGTGTGTGATTCTAGTATGCAGAATAAATAAGTACGGATTCAAAAGTCACTCCATAACCTAGAATAAACACAGGGCTAGATTCTGTAGCGCTTTGGCAAATCTCCTGCTGACCTAGTAAAAATTACACAATTGGGCTGTTAATAGGGGAAAGTCAACAGAGGACAGTTGAAAGGGCTCTCCCGTACAGAAAGGCATGGAAAGCAGCAGCATGATGAAAAATGCAACTGGAATGCTAAGTAACCAAGAAATCATCAGAAAGTTTTTTTGAAAAATAAAAATTCTTACACAAGGTTTTTCAAAGAACTGCTTAGTTCTAAAACCTTCTCAAACTGGGTAAACGTTTCAGGGTGAGGAAAGAAAACCCGATTACAACTGGTACCGAACAATACCAGAGGAGAACCTTGCAAAGGTCTCTGGATAGTAATTTGTGAATTTATGCTCGAGGTGAAATAGCAAAGCCCAAATTCTGGAGAGATGCTTTTTTCGATAATTAATTCCCTGTCAAATCTACAAAACCAAAAAATAACCAAGAGTCTCCTAAAAATGACCCAACCCCTCTCTTCTTCATCTGCCTTGAAAATTCCTCATCAATTCAAAATATATGAAATGTTAACTGGCCACTCTAATGTATATAACGTACTTTAAAGACCTCCCTAACATGTTATAAGCAAATCACTATTTCGACTAGAGGATTTATCTAAGAGGCAAATAGAAAAAAGAAAAGTCAGGGCAGCGTATTGGGTACAGAAGACACAAAGATAAATAAGACAAAATCTTGCTCTCAAGGAAAGACACAGCCAGAACTATAAACAAATTACAAGCTAGGCTGACAAATGTAGTAACAGAAGAATGCCAGGGTTCCAGAGCGGCTCAGAGGAGGGGAGCATGCAGGTGGGGGAACACGGGGGTGGGGAGAGTGGCCAGAAAAGGTTTCTTGGGAGATGGAGAAGACAAAAAAGGATTTGGGGAGGACCAGGGAGGAAGGATGCACGGAGGAAATACGATAGGCCGTGTCTGAGTTTAAAAGCTATGCAGTACTGCTGGGTTTAAAATTCTGTTGAGGGAAGAGAAAGGAGGAGGAGTGATGGGAGGTCAGGTAGTTAAGTTACACACGATCCGTTCGATTCTTACAGCAACCAGGAGGCAGACGTTAGTCCTGCTGTCGACCCTTTACCTAATAAAGACCCGTGGTGCAGAGGAAGGTCACCTGCTTGAGGCTCCCAGTAAATCGGATTCAAACACAGGCTTGAGGGCTTTCCCTGGTGGCACAGTGGTTGAGAGTCCGCCTGCCGATGCAGGGGACACGGGTTCGTGCTCCGGTCCGGGAAGATCCCACATGCCGTGGAGCGGCTGGGCCCGTGAGCCATGGTCACTGAGCCTGCGCGTCCGGAGCCTGTGCTCCGCAGCGGGAGAGTCCACAACAGTGAGGGTCCCGCGTACCGCAAAAAGAAAAAAAAAAAAAAGGAAAAAAACAAAACACAAAAACACAGGCTTGATGCCTAAGCCCCCAGCCCAGCTGGGACCTGGGAGCTCTCGTTAGATCTGATCACCTCCTGAAGGGACAGACACGGGGGCAGGGTTAGGATTCCTGACCAATCAGAACATAGGGGAGAATGCGTCTGATCCTCAAGGGTTTTCCAGGAAGACTTAATCTTGGGGGGTGGAATCCTGTCAGCTTTTCTTTTTATTACAGTCATGCTTAGAATTCAGGAATGTAATTGCAGACAAGAAACTCTGGGCATCTCATTTTGAACAGAAGTTCCTGGGGATGAGGACAGAGACTGTGAAAAGTTAAGCCATGCAGGTGTATACAGGTGGCCCAGATGTTGCGGCCAAAACAACACTGATGCTTTCTGCCATGGCTGGGGAATGTACCTGATACCAGCCTCATCTATCAGAGAAATCTGATGGGCATCTTGCTTGGTCTCTTTGTGGTGGAAATGGAGAAATGAAAGAAGAAACCCAAGGTAGCTTCCCATCTAAACTTACTGTCCAACAGCTTATTACATAGGACATGTAGGACATTTACTGATGAGAAAGTTGTAGAACTTCAACATCCTCTAAAGTGCACTGAAATAATAAAAACAAACGGCAAGGATTTCTCAGTAAGAGAGAAGTGTCATTGCTAGAGCAAAGAGCACTTTAAGAAATTTCAAGTAAATATGAAAAGATGACGGGGATGATCCTGCACCGTCAATCAATTCTAATTGCTGTGCTCTAAGGAAACGTCCCATTCCCCTGCAAAGCAACTATGGGTGGCCCCACTGAGACACTTGCAGAGCAGAGAGGAACTGGCCCTGCCTAGAGGGGCCCTCGTCTAAACCCTCTTACCATTTGGAACAATAAGGCATTCTGTTCTGGGACTTTTCATTGAAGAACAAATACCATTCAGTTACCGGCAAAGCCCCAGTGTAGGGCATTCGTTCTCAAAGAATTATAAACAGTTCCACTGCTTTCTGGTATAGAGGTGGCATTTGGACAGATGGATAAAGATTGACAAGGAGGTTTCTTTGGGAAAGAAATTCTATTTATTTTGGCAAGGTTACAAAATTGGAAAGGCTCCACAAGGAAAAATTCTAAACGTGGGTTTATTACTGGACAGACCATTTTGGGTATGTCCTTCTGATGCTTAATCTATAGTATCCTGAGAATACAAATACAAACGAATACCCAAAGTTACAACTTAACACAGTTACTAACGTAAAGAGAAACTATATAATGGTCAATTTCAAACGTCAAGACATTTTAAGGGGAACCAAGTGTAAAGTTTCTGATGGCTACTGCAAAAGTCATGGCATGCTCTTTTTTCTTAAATTTTCTATTCTTTTTTTTACTTTTTGTTTTTGTTTACTGACAGAGAATGAACCAGTATCACAGGAAGCCATTCTCTAGCAAATGAGAACTTCTAGAAGCTGTAGATGCAATTTCTAAAGTGATACTCCAGTGCCTTGGAATAGAAATGCAAAACCAACAGTATTCATTTCATCTCAGTAAGGCGCTTACCTTGGGAGAACTTAGCGTACTGGATTTTCTAAAAGGCGTAAGGAAAACTCATGTAGCTTTTCAGACCACCACACCATAGGATATCATTAAAGGACAGTATGCCTTGATGAATCATCAGTTTGTACTGAGAGAGGAGAGGAGAAAATGAGAGAGAGGGACAAGAAGAAAAGAAGGAGCGTGAGGTAAAGCAGATAAAGAACAGTGAGGGAAAAGGCAGGCAGTGAAGGACAGAGGCAGGAGGGAGGGTCCCACTGTTAAAAGACTCTAGAACAGTTTCTCAGTACCAGAATCTGCTGTATACGAGACGAGAGCAGGCTATCAAAGGGTGCTGCACACGTGCATGCCTGTGCAAAAGGCATCCTAAAACTTCAGTTGTACCAATAAATTAGTGGGCATCTTTTATTTACCTTCCGTATTACTGAGCCGTTAGATATATTTTCATTTTCTTTGAACTCTGGTCCCACTTTCAGATATAATGTATTCATTTATTCACTCACTACTTCTATTTCTATTTTCTATATGTTTATAATAAAATGAAAATAAGCTTTTTTTAGTATTTTTCTTTTTGGGGGGCCTGGTGGTCATAGTGATGGGTACAAAACCTTACACCAAAGAGTAAACAAGTCTAGTGTCCCAAATGCAGTAAGATCACTGGTTGCTTAGGCCTTTATCGGTAATTAGTGAAATAAGATTCATATCTGAAGGCTAGAAAAGAGCTGAGTGTGCTGACAAAAATATAAACAGAAACCTAATCTATGATTTGTCAATCTCTCTTCCTGGTCACAATCCTTAGAACCTTTTGGTGATTAAAAGGAGTAAAGCAGTATGAATAAGCTGGATGGATGTAACAACAGTTTAAAAAGTGACATCAAAAATAGTTTCCTTTCAAAACCTAGCCATCTCATGAATTACTATCACATTGTAAGAGAGAAGGAAAAGGGAAAGCCACTGCTCCTTTAATCTTTCTTGGAAAACAGTTGGAGCTTTAAAATTTAATTCACAAAACCTCAATAATATCCTTGAGAAATCAAAACCCTAAACCACTTCAGGCTTAGGAAGACCACGCCACAAACTGGGCAAGTAGCCTCCTTTATCTGCTGCGTTGACCAATTTCAGGATTTCCCATGAGTTTCAAGCAGCTGCAGAGCAATGCCAGTACTTTACACCAAGCATAGAACTGACCATAGCTGCATCCCCAGTCGCGGGAACTCTCCATTCTTACAGTTCATGTTAGCTGGCTCTCTGGAAAAATATCTCAGAGGCCTCTAGATGTGAAAGGGCCTGGTTTGGAAGGAAAGAACAGAACAATGATGGACCAAACTGCTCTGCACAAGAAAGGGAGAGGAATTCTGTGTTTTCTTGGGCAGCTTGAGAGTCCGGTAGGGAACCAAAAGGAAAGAGAAGAGGGGCCAGGAAGAACAAGGAAGGAGAGATGGCAAGTAAGGGCTGGCCAAGGAACCCCCGCAGGCAGAGGCTGGCCAATCCCTCCTCACACAGTGAGGAATCTAACGCTCAATTTTAAGGTATGGCCTGGCCTGGGCTACACTGCAAGCTCATCCTTGTATCAGTGAAGTCTGCTCTGTGCAGCGGCTTTGTGTTGGGGCTGCTTTAGGGAAATCGATATGGTAGCCAGCAGGGGAAGGGGGTGAGCACAGAAACTGAGAGTGGAGTTTAGAAGCAGGGACGAATAAGAGCTGACTGCACCAGGGCCCAATCCAAAGGACTCCTGATTATCTGGAGTACGGGCTTATAGGCATCCCACATGGAGTGGCCCTGGGTCATGAGGATACCCAGGCCTCAGGCTTCTGAGCTATAGGGCTTTAAAGGAAAGAAAGAACCCTAGAACTTCCTTTCAGAGGAAGTGTCAAGGTTACTGCTTAAAGAAGCATCCACCCAGAAGAAAGAGTCCCAAAAGCTGGCATGCTGCTTTACTTCATGGTGGTAGCACTGGAGAAAAGTAGACCTGGAAGGCTTGCTGCTCACAGATCCCCCCCAGATCTAGTTACTGGAAACTCACCTGAAGGGAGAACGCCCGCAGTGCGGGAATCGGGATCAACGCAGCCATAAAGAAGGCCGTGACGTTGCTGATGGATGTGAGGGCCACGCTGGCTCCCGTGCGCTTGAGACACTCCCCGGTCCTGTCCTAAGGATGAGAAACCACAGTGCTGAGAGCTGCACGGGGTGGAGTCCCCTCAGACCACAGACTGTGTGAACAATTCAAATACGTGGCAAAATAAGACAACTGGTAGTTTACAATGCTGACGTGAGGGGATAAGAAAGGGATATCTCTGCCTTTCCCTCTAACACCAACACTGAAATTCAAGTTTTCAGTGCTATCTACACAGGCATGTGTTGTGCATGGTTATTACTACCCAAAGCACAAAGCTGCAAGATAATGATTTAAGTAAATTTTTAATATGGTTAAAAAGGGGCAAGGAGAAATGAGAACAAAGTAACCAAAAAACCCAAAGACACAAATGTGCACATTGGAACAAGTGTCCTGAGATGCTTTTAACTTACTTTACTTATTTAGAGTCAGTCATGTGTCATCTGACTTGGGACTGAAATATTTACTGGGCCAGATTGAGAAAAGTGAAAGGACAAACACTCAGGAACACAGAGGGGCTTCTGCTGTCCTCAAAGGTTTCTTCTTTTGTTTTTCTATTACCTCAAAAGGGATTCTTTTATTCTGTCCTGTTTCACTAAATGCATGCGCCAGAAGGAAAACATCATCCACACCAACGCCAAGAGCAAGAAATGGCAAAACCTGTAGTGAAAACACGGCACAGTGACATGAGACACATGAGGTCCAATTCTGAGAATTCTACAAAGCTATTTAAAACATTGCCACCAGCACCCCAAGGAGCTTACCCAAAGGATGGCTTACATGAACTCATGTGAAGAATCTAGTTTTATCTGATAGTTAGACCCCAAAGTCTAGCGGTTGTGGCTCACAGTACACCTTGTCCATTACTGTTTCTAAGCTCCACGTACGATAATTATTTTCAGTTAATAAATGAGAAGGAATTATACTCCAATAAAGATGTTAAAAAAAGAAAAGTGAGAAGGAATCTAACTCATTTAAAGCAGTGGTTCTCAGAGCGTGATGCCTAGACCAGCAGTGTTGGGAGCTGGCTAGAAATACAAATTCTCCACCCTCACCCCAGATGGACTGCATTAGAAACTCTGGGGATGGGGCCCAGCAATCAGTTTTCACAAGCCCGCCAGGTGATGCTAATGCACACTCAAGGTTAAGAACCACTACTCGAATAAATGATCTAAATTCCACTGACAAATGAAGCATCTCTAACTAATCAACAAGCCCATTCAGACCTGCCACTGTCAAGTGGTCCATTTAGAGACGGCACCCCCCTGAGAAATGGGGCATCTTAGTGGAAAAGGCTGGAAGACCCTTTAGGTGACATGGACACACTGGAGGCCAACTGGGCAAGCCCAGAGAGGGGTGTTTGTCAATGAACAGCAGACGGATGGCTCCTTTAGTACCTGAGTTGTTGCAGCATTAAAGGAAATCCCGATCAATGAGCACAGGCCCAATCCTGCAGCCACTGACAGTGCAACCAACAGGACACCAGCCAGCCCCACGGCACCCTGGGACTTGGAGCAGTCCCAGCGCAGCATGGTTAAACAGGCATAGGCAAGCTACAAGCAGAACAGTTGGGCAGGGTGGTGGGGAGGTGAAGGAATGAAGGGGAATTGGAGGAGGGGGGAGAGGAGGAAGGGGGAGACACAAAACAAAAGCCAAACATTAGAATGTGTAAAGATTCTAATGTTTTCCCCCACCCATCACCCCAAATCAAAAGGTAGAACTTATTAAATCCAACAACAACAAAAATTTACATTACAGACATCATACGAAATGATACGAGTCAAAGATGGGCAAACCGCAAATGGTAATAAATGCTTTACGCGACCACTTTTTAAACCGTTACGAAGCCGAGCTCTCTCTGTCTTGGATGCAAGTGTGTGTTAAGAGCAGTTAAAAAGCAGGGGCAGTCATGGAAAGGTAAAAACTAAAAAACAAAACAAAAACGCCCCCTGGGAGAACTGAATTGATCGTTACCATCAGTAAATAGCCACTGGCCACTCGGATGACGCTGACATCAGAGAAGGACTTGAGGATGTCGTCCAGGGTCGTCGTGGTAAAGGAAAGCACCTTCTGAGTGGAGTTCTGAGTGACGCTTTGATGAACTACCTGCGGTCACAACGCAAGGATAAATTCCCAGATGGGATTAAAGCTACGATGAGCTTCAAGAGCACAGACCTCTCAGGTGACATGTCCCCTTTACCCAACCCCCACTTTTTTCTGATGCCTTGAAAAGAGCTCTACATGATTGGGGTTTGAACTTGGACTAACATTGAAGGACCTGAGCCTGGGACAATGAAGGCTATTGCTAATCAGATGAGAATGTGGTGCTGTGGTGAGCTGGTGAGCCTGTGTAATTGAAGTTTTCTCCGACAGCCTTATTTATGCTATGTCTAAGATTGCTATCCTCCTCTTCATAACTCTACAACTGATTTGCGGGCCCATCAGTTCCCCCCTAATCCAAAACAACTCATTCTTAGGGGCACTCCTCCCCCTCTTCATTCGCTGGCCACTTTTAAAAGGTCACATGCAGCTCAGTAGAGGTCACTGCTTGGGAAACAAAGGCCAGCTCCTGTCACATGACCTAACCAAGGGGACTGCAGCTGTGAACAGATTCTATGCCTTGCTAATGTTTTCCAGACACCTTTTCTTGCTATCCAAGTGTTTTTCTAAACACTGTTATGCCTTAGCTCTGGGGTTCACAATTGGTTACTCAAAAGTGTTTCAGGGCATCACAATTAGAATTAGCATCACCCAGATAGTGAGATTTTCAATATAAAGAGAAGGAAAAAGTTTTCATCCCCCCAAGTTCCCAGAATTACAATCAGTTTTGAAAATAAATTCTAATGAAAACAATGCTTTTTAAAACGTTAAAATGAAGTATTTAGTAACTAAGGGGTTTGTACTCAGGTTCAAAGGGCGTCAGAATGCCACCCATTTACCTCCACATACGTCCTCTGCCAAGCCTCCAGGATGGCTGCTGCCTTGTCCTCGTTCCAGTTGATGTGCGAGACATACTCATAACCCTTGAAGTGTTCGTACATTTGCTTGGGAGTCATTAACTGAAACATGGTCTGCAAGGCGTGGGCACTGTGATGGGGTGGAAAAGGCACAACATCAGCTTCCCCAGGAAGCAGCTCTCACTGTGCAAAATCCCCACCGAGCACCCCCGACTCACTCGCAGCCATTCTGTCCTACATGAGCACATGTTTCCATTAAAATGGGACCTGGATGGTTATTTTATTTAATAGATTGATGTACCATATTAAAGGTGTAACCTTACAAACCTTTTACAGATACACCCCCAAATTAAATTAATAGGCAATTTCCTTTCTCAGTTTCTAGTCAACGAAACAGGAAGGGTAGTGGAGTAGATAGCCTGATCAGATATGCTGGGCTCAGCGCTGCACGCTTGCTTGTGCAGAAATCCCAGACGACGGCTCTCCCGAGGGAGAAATCTCAGACAGAGTGCCTGACACTTGACGGAGCGGAGTCCACAAGTGCACAGAGGATAATTCTTATTTAGCCGTCAGTCGTTGGTCTTTCTCTTTAACAGCCTGTGATGGAGTTCAGCTCATATCATTTAACTCCACAGGGTATGACCAATTCCTATTGCCTACTTTACAGTTGCCCCCATTTTCTTTCTACATAATGGGTAGATCTTCTAAAATCCTACAATCACTAACTACAGTCTCGATGAAAATGATAACTCTTGAAAAGCTCCCCATAAGGTGCTTTTTTGAGCTGGTCTAGTCCACTAATATTTCCTAATATTCTATTACACCAGACAGCTAGCTAGGATAACAGTTAAGTATGAATACAAATACACTTGCAGACGTCAGAAGGGAAGTGGTTTCCGAGGAAAGGACAAAAAATAGATGGCTTGGATTTTCCTCCGTGTGTTGGATTACCTGACAAGCTTTCCAGTGCTGTTCTTGACTGTGCCACCCACAATCAGTTCCTCCTGCCAGTGCATATACTTTCTGGATAATCCATGACACCCACCATTCAAAACAAGGGCCATATCAAGAGGCTAAAAATAAAAAGACAGCCTCATAATTACAGGAATTAGTAGGCAGGTCACATGCCTTGTTAAAATCCAGTGCATTAAGGGCTTGTTTGTTTCAGTGAGAACATTAATAACAAGGCTAATGAGAGGCGTATGGCAAATCTTACAGCAAAATTTAGCTCTTTAAACAAACTTAGTTCCATAGACCAAAAAAGTCATTGAGAATGAAATCTTAAAAATAAAGATAATAGAACTAAAAATGGGGGTAATAGCAAGTTTTTCTCCCTTCCCCTCCTGAGGAGCAATCAATGGCTGTGCTTACTTTGGTTGCATTTTTGTTGGGGGCTGTGGCAGGGCAGTCTGGATCAGCTGGATTGAGGCAGGGCCGGTCCATGTAACCATGACCAACTTCAGCCTTATTCAGCATTTCCTCCCAGCTGTCCACTTGATAGTTTATTTTCTTTAACTCTTCTAGGAATTCCAAAGGGTCAAAGTTTGTCCACTGCAAAGGAGGCTTACCTCTGTGAAAGAAATTAGGAGGCAAGACAATGAAAAAGAGGCTTCCAAGCCCTTAGTAAAATAACAAGACTGAATCTATTGCATCTGGATTGTATGATGCTTTTTGGGGAAACAACTGTAATTCTGGGACCTTGGCACAAAAACCAAATGCTCCTTTCCAGTATACCTATATGCAAACCTAAGTCAGGAAAATAATTCATGAATGAACATGGCAAACAGAGAGCTTATAAATTAACAAAGGTACCAAAGAATCTTAACTTGCTGATATAGTATATTTAATACCTAAAACCAAAATTAGCCAAATGGGTGCTTCTAAGCATAAGACTGAGACCCAAAATTAAGGGGTGGGGGCGCAGAGGAAATCACAATGTCAAATTAGCACTTGCCAGCCTAATAAATGCTTTGTAAATGTCATCAATCAAAATATTTGATCTCCATTACCTTTAATAATCCCATACTTATGAGCTCTCTCTGACAGCCTGGCAGTCAACCCCACAAGCCCCCTGCTGCCTCTGCCATCACCGCCATCAAGGCCACTTCCCCCCACACTCACTTTTGAATTTGTGCTGCTGACAGACCAGAAAGGCTTTTGGCTGCCTGTTATGTGGTTCAAACCACACTGTAGCTGCTTAACCAGGCTGAAGTCATTATTCAGAATCTCCCAACCAGAAAACACAAAACCCCTTATTTCCCACCTAAAACTGTACACTGAAGGTCAGGGTATGGCCACTGCAAATTGCTTTTGCAGATATGTGCAAGCTAGGAGAGAAACAATAACCCAAGCACTAACTCTTGCATAATTAACTGAAAATGTCTACACTGATTAACAATTATTCCTTAAATGATGCCGTGTACATAATATTCAACTGCTAAACTGTGAAGCATCCCCTACCATGACCTTCAAAGATAGTGGATTTCCCTCTTAAATGCCATTAATGTGATCCAAAGAAAGGTTAGCATTTCACTTAACAGGAAGATCTTGAACTTCGACATGTACCCACTAATAAATTCTCTCCTTAAAAAATAAGCTAAACCTACGTTAAGTGCTCGGTGTACAAAACTGCAAATATTTTAAAGAGTTAAAAATCACACATACTCTGAAATAATTTGCATTTTATTTGCATATAAATGGGCTGGTAAAAGTGAATGAAATTTAATGATGCCTACAGAACTTTTTGTGAAAAGAGGAGAAACATTCTGCCGAAGTGCCCTCTCCCCCAACTATTCACTCAAAACATGCACATGGAATTTCAATGTTTTCATTTCTTGTCCAAAACTGAAACAGAATAAACAATGATAAGGTAACATCAGAAAACAAGATCACACACTTACAGTAGGTATGCTGTCCCAGACTGTAACTTCGCCCCTTCCCAGAAGCAGTCCAAAGGTGTAATAATTAAACAAGGGTAAAGATATTCTATTATCTGTCAAAGTTGAAAAGAATAGGCCACGCATTAGGCTAATGTATACCACTGGGCTATTTGAGAATTTTTGAGAAATTTTTGCAAACAAAAAGAAAATATACCTGATCCATGTAACCTGTTTCTGTGATAAGTTCTCCAGATTTATAACACAAATGTTCCAATTTCCATTGCCTATTAAAATAAAAAGCAGAGACAAAAGTTTCCTATAGCAATAAAGGAAATGTGTGCAAAATCAGAACTACAGAACATACAGAGAACTGCAATTTTGATCACTTTTCAGTATCTGTCAAAATGAGCAGAGCTTTGCCAAATGGATTCAACAAGCTTGTTTTAATGAATAGATAATACTCAACTGTAATTAACATGTGGGGTGTTTATGTAAATGAATGCTACCCAAAGTACTTGAAAAGTCTTGTTTTCTTAAGTGTTCTCCCAATAATCTTGTTTACACCATTAATCTGCTTTTCCACATACATTTTCCACATACATAAACAACTTCAGGGCAGATAATTCAGAGTTGAATTATCACAAATTCAAAACAGGTGGGGACTAAATTAGTAAGGTTTATAATGTATTAACATATACTGAGGTGGGAAAATATTACTTTTTTTTAGCTGTTGAATTATGTCCTTATTAACAGAGAGTGTTCAAAATGAACTTTCCTGCTCTTAACCACAAATGCTATAAAGAACATTACCAGGTAGATTGGTTTCCCACTTTACATTCTTCTATTCTTGTCCTACAGAAATTATATCAAATATACTGATCAACAATCACCTATACTATCCATCATCTATTATTATAGCATTTTGTTATCCCTAGAAGAGTGCTATATAAGCCCAGGCCTTCCCAAGTGTATTAGGGAAATGAGTCTAATTTGAAAAAAGAGAAAATTAGGAAAAGGTGGGGATGGGAACTCCAGGAAAAGAAAAAATATAAAACTCCTTCTAGACTGCTCTGTTTCATTGGTCTCCTTTTTCTTTTATTAGTCGCCCAAAAGAACGTTCTGGACTTCGCCCTCTTCCTTGTGGAACCTTCCCATCCATCCCTCAGTGCCCCGCTGAAATGCCACCTTTTTGCTAAGCTTTCTTTGATCAGTGCTGTTGAAAGTGACCCCTTTCTCTTGAACCCCAGAGCAATGCTGGTCGGCTCTCCTTCTTGACACTGGAGCACCTGTAGGAGGGGACTGCCTGTGTTTGGCTTTGTACATGCTTCTCTGTATTGTCTTTCCTCTCCCTAACTTAGGCTGTGGTGGTTTCATTCCAGAACTCTTCCTATGCTTTTACTACATCCACAGCATTGCTAAATTAGCTACAAAGCTAAAGGGTAGTATTTGGTAAAGGTGTGTGAATCCACCTTACTCCGCCTACCTGTCCCCAGGAATTCACCACAGTGGCTCAACCCCCTAGTTTTTGGTGACACATACCAACCGCTAACATCTGTACTGAATAAAGTAATGAGAAGTAACTTCTTTTTCTTTTTTATTCTTTGTGAGGTGACTAAAGGCAATTCAAAATGTAACTGTTCCAAAATCAGGTTAAGCAGTGAAACATCTTCAGAACAGTGGACAGCCATCCAAATGGCTGCTTGAAGGACCATACTCATTTGGGTATAGTGCCAAGATACTCACTGAAAATACATTATAAAGTAATGTAGTTCATATGTTACTAAACTTTAGAGCCAAATCAAGATTTTAAAAATCATTTCACGAGAAAACTGTTTGAACTAACACTTCTGCTGTATTTCCAGGGCAACTTTATTTGCTAAAACAAAGGGATCTAAACCGGCAGCCTCTCCCCACCACCTTACCTGTTATACATATATACATGGACCCGGCTGGCCTGGAGCGCCGAGTCCAGGTGCTGTCGGAGTGCCTCCGTGGTCAGGACATTAGCACCGTCTTCCTTGGGGGTCTGAATCATGAGTTGAGGATTAAACATAGCCTCTTCTCCAATCTTCTGGCGAGTGTAATTTAATTCACGACTTACTCGCCCACCAACTGGTAAACACGTACAGGTTTCAATTAGAACAGCAAAATCCCCACAAATTCACATTCTGTTACCTCACTAATAGGAGCAGGGTACACGATAAATGAACTCTGGTCACAGAAATGTATGGCTGGGGCTTCCCTGGTGGCGCAGTGGTTAAGAATCCGCCTGCCAATGCAGGGGACACGGGTTCAAGCCCTGGTCTGGGAAGATCCCACATGCTGCAGAGCAACTAAGCCCGTGCACCACAACTACTGAGCCTGCGCTCTAGAGCCCGCAAGCCACAACTACTGAAGCCCAC